TGAAACGAATACTCAAAATTAAATTAAATTTAAACCCCATACAACCGAATTGATAAATAGAGCCATAGGAACATGTTAAACAGATAACAATATAGTCAGCTGCGAATGGTATCATAGAATGATAAAGACCCGCATTTTGCCAAATAAACCGCGGCAGGGTGCCGTCATAATATTTTACTGTTCATGACTGTATCGCGACATTATTTTTTGCCTTTGCGGTCGATAAATTTAAGTATACGTGACGTGTCTGCAAGAAAAACTTGGGCGTGTGTTAACAAATCAAATTCTTATGAAAAAAGATAGGGCTGCATCAACGAAAGTGGATTTTTATTTCGAGGTATTATTTATGCCTTGGGTCTAGTCTATAATTCGAGGTGTAGCGTTGTTCCAAGCAAAACTATAATTGTTACGGGTTATTCAGCATATATTATTGCCTCCTTGTCTAAAAAGGAAAATGATAAGTACAGACATGTTAAGGTTAAACACAATGATTACCTCAAATCGGATTTTTAAAAAGCTGAAATTTCAAACCTCTCGCTAGAAATTTCAAAATATTTCCTTGAATCGCCCTTGAGTATTATTGTTATGTATGCAACTTTTAAATAAATTTTAACTTGAACATTATCACATAAATCAGCGATAGTGTAAATTGAATACAGCTTATTCAATTCAGGATCGACAAAATAGTTAACGAATTACCAAGAATATGCGAGTACCTAACGTGATTCAAGCTCACAATCATTCATCAAAAGCGTTCATTAAATTTGTAGGCAGTTACTAAGTAAGTGTCACAGTGAACATCATCAATTTTGTATTATCTTTTCTATTAGGCTGGCTACCGTCGTATAATCTCTAGAAGTCATAAACGATATGGATAGAATAAGTGTTCTTGGTAACATTATATTTTAATAGCAATGAGGACTTTGTTGCTGAGAGGCATAAGTTGCTTTAGTAGAAAGTGCCATAGTTATTGATTAAATGTGTTTTTGTATATTTTTAGTAACATTCTTATTTTAAGATTCACATTTTTAAATGCATTTCTTATCTTTCCTAGATCCCTGGGTGACGAAAAGGACATTCAGAATAAACCTAATTTGTAGCTCTAAATTTCCTTCGCCTCTGCGATAATGTTTTTTTTATTTAACAACATTAACGGCGTTAAGCGTAGGTAGTAGCTTTATCAAGGCCCCTTAATGATAGGCGTATCAAATCAAAATCATTTATTCATATAGGTAACACAATGTACACTTATGAACGTCAAAAAAGAAAAACATATTATGCTTCTAATTTTACATTTACTGCCAGTTCTCAAAGTATGTAAGTAGACTAGCACTATACCAGTGTTGCAATAAATTCCCTGTGATAATATGTTTACTATACGTGAACGTTTGTTTAGAACACCATAAATTTATATCGTATTTTGATCACTCCTCGTTCGGACAAAGCAACTCGAAAGCCATAGGAAAAAACATCTTGTGTTACTTCAGTTCCTTTATATTTGTGCATCAAACCGCCCAAAGAAGTTTATTGTTGTGGAATGATATGATGTCTTTATGTTCAGCTATTGTATTATCTATCTTGATCTTTTTATTTAATGGTCAGAACCACATTGCATTGTTCAAGCGCATTGGAAACAAATATTTTGAACATTTTGACATTTACGACCATTTTCTCGTAATTCGATATAAGCAACGGAATTTAATACACTCGCTACTAGTTTTAAAAGAATATTGTTATGCTTGCATTGAATATTTATCAAACGATGAATAGAAATGTAACGAACTCTGTTAACTTTAGCGCAGATTTGTATTGATCCTGAAAATTGTTAGAATTCAATTTTAACTCTAACACTTTATTGAACAGAATGGAGTATTTTATAGCCCGTGCGTGCGTATTTTTACAAAAAATATTATTTGACGCGCCCTTTTCTTTCATATTTTTTACCAGCACAGCCAGTAAGCTGGCAGAATCGGTACTAAAGCGTGTCAAAAGGAAGGAGCATAGGAGAATGATTTTTTCATTATTACATTATCATAACACATAAAATTTCAATAATACTTTATCATTCTTGCTTTAACGGAATACTATTAAATAATTCCCATAGCTCCATGAAGCCAAAAAGATTCAGTTGTGATCGGTCATAAAAATTATTCACTAATAGAGATAATTTGATGATCAATTCTGAGGCAATTCTGAAACAATTCTAGTTAGGGTCCTTCAAGAAAAGAGCGTACCAATAAGGCCGGCAACGCACTTGCAAGCCCTCTGCAAAGAGAGTGGCGGTGGTATCACTTAAAATCAGGTAAGCCTCCTGCCCGTTTGCCCCTTGTTACATCAATATATGTTATTCATACACACTTTGCATATTACTCAAACAAATACAATTAAATATAGAAACCTCAAAGTCTTTGGAGTGAAACGATAAGCATATTATAAAGGAAAGGGTACTAAAAGGGTTAAGCTTATGAGTGAACGTATTAAATAAATTTGAAATCTGCCGTTAAATTTTCCTATTTCAGGGAAACGTGCGGTTCGCAAATCTTTGGTAAGCATTTGCGGTTGGGCACAAGCGGACAAACTGTCAAAGCGTGATGGAAATATGGGCCGGGAGATGGTAAAGTAACAAAACAGCATCTATTACGTAGAACATTTTAAATAATTTATATTACTCGATTCAAGGTTTCTCAATAGCTTTAAAGTCTCAAATTCGTTTAGAATAAAATTAACGAAACTGAATTTAAAGTAGGTACAACTGTCATCATGTGCATTTTGTACCGTAGTTTACGTTAATGCACCTATTGACTGGATCTGAATTTAACCCAGAATGCCGAAATGCAGAATGCAGAATGCTGAATTCTTGACTTTAATATTACAGATAGTTTGGTTTAAGGGTATACAGGAATAACGTAGCTTAAATATTGTTATTAAATACGCATCAACGAAGTTCACGAACACCTTAAAATAAGAACTATCAAAGAGGAAATCCGGAGACTGGCAGCTAAATACAAAGAGCGGTTAAGCTGTCACCCCAATGAACTTGCTCGCCAACTCACCATTACACAGTATGTGAGTCGACTAAAACGTCACCATATTCTAGAGCTAGAAGACCGGCAGTAGCTCTAGACAGAAGATGAGTAGATGCCTCCAACGGGAAGTCAATCCACATGACAGCACCACTGAAAAAAAAACAGCCTTAGGGCTGATTGCAAATAACCGCAGAAAAAGAAACTACGCATAATATCTGGAGGGTTATAAAGCACTTCACGTAAACCAAGTAAACCTTATAAACCAAAAACTTTATGATAGTTTCTATCTATAAAACGCTTTTTAAACTTTTTTCGTGAATTCGGCTTCTACTACAATAGCTATTAGATTTTACGTCAAGTAAGTTATTATATATTATTGGAGGTGTGTGAATAAGTATAAATATCTATACTGTAATGTCCCTTTTCCATTTTAAGTTATTAAAGTAAATATCAAATATAAAGTAATTTGGGAAAGATTTTGTAAGTTTATAACGAACTAAACTTATTTAAAAAAAATAATGTGCAGCCGAAACAGACCTCTACTTTTAGTATTAAACACAATAATATTACAGCAAGCTAATTTACTTGTGCCACTTAGATTAGTTAATTAAATGCATTCTAATCTACAATTCGACTTAAATTACACCCATTCAATCGTTATCATTTTTATGTCTAAGTTGAAATTTCGTTTGAACGAATTTGACTATTTCGTCGGACATTCTTAATTATCATTAATGTTACGCGGTTGAAGCAGTATTTAAGATACCGGAGAAACGTATAAGCTATTTATATTTATGAGTAGAGTGATTTTATCTTTGTTATTTATGAATAAACGATAAAGTTCATAACCTAATTCTAATTAAGACGTGTGGTGGTCTTTGGTACATTAAAAGTACCGAGACTTTTAAACATATTAGTTTTATTAAATTTAGAATTTTAATTAACTTAATCCTGAAATAGTTTTGACGTTATAAGAAAAAGTTTTGGGACATCTTGCTGATTTTTTGTTAATAAATAACAGTAAAATCTGTTCAATGAACGAGGTGACTTGACGAAACGATATTGTAATGAAAGTGTAGTAGGGATTTGTCTATACCTACTAATATTATAAAAAGGAAAGATTAGTATTTATAAATGATATTAACGAAACTTTAAAATAGGACAGATTTTACACCATTCATTCACCATTATTTGAGTATTGAATAATTTCTTTTTTAGATCGACTGCATAGTGAACAACTATATATATTATTATAATTTCAGGTGTTTAGATTCCCTACAATTTTCTTATAAGAAATGTGTCATGTATACATGGTACTCAAATAAATATAAAATCATTTAACGTCAGTCTAATACTCGCAAAATGTAAGTATATATTTGTACCATTCCTGGGTCAAGGGGATGTTTTAACTAGCATAAAATATATAGTACGTGATTTCAAGTTTCTAATAGGCAAGTAGGTAATCAGCCTCTTGTGCCTGACGCCGGCGACTTTATGGGTCTAAGGCAAGCCGGTACGAGCGAATGTTAAATGCGCACAGAAAGAAAGTCCATTGGTGCACAGACGGGGATCGAACCTACGACCTCAGGAGTAAAAACTTCTGCTAAAATACGCGTGAGAAAAATATACAGCCTTGACTTGTATATTTGTAAGTATTAGCCAAATACCATATCCTCATAAGTACTATCGCGTTACAAATCCCCGCCAGAAGCGGAGAGTACAAATTATTCCTCCCACATACTTGTAAGTGCGTCTGAATCAATCAAACAACATTCGTCCCGCCCTTTATGCAGCTGCATCATTTTGACCACTGTAATCAAGTTTTATTATCTGTTAAATCTTTAGCGTTAAATATATTCATGTATGCAAAATATTAAAACGTTCCCATGGTTTTACAAAACCTAACCAAAGCTTATCCACTAGCTCATGATGGAGAGAATATAAGTATTTCGGTGGCTTTATATAGTTTAGAAATTAAATACAATTTTCATATGTTAATGCTGAAGCGTGCACCAGTTTTTGATAATGCGCGCGATTCGCAACCAGATTGAAATCGGACGAGTTGTCCACAAATAATGAACAGAATTCAGACCTTAAAATTCTAAATCTAAATAATATGAATAGGTACGAGGTACCGCATTGGATGCAAGGACAGCCCGGCGTGCCCGTGCGCAGACGAGGTTTATGTGCCCCATATTGTCTTGCAGTGCCTGAGCATGCTAGAAGCGAACTGAACTGGGGCCTGGGCGACACGACGTTGAAGCCCGAAGCCATTCCTATCATCTTTGCTTTGCTTTGAAAGCGACGAATACTCACAAAATTTTGAATAAACATAGCAAAGGATTCTATAGATAGGAATCAAATAAGAAGCACCAACTCAAACTAGGCTAATATTGAAAATATATAATATAATGTCGAAAACTTTAGTTAAAATGTTATCGTGAAATGAACAATTATAGTAGTACAAATAAAGTATGCAATGTTTATGAGTACAAAGAAAACTATACCTCTGCAGAATTTGTATTAAAACATAAAAACCCTTGTCTTTCAATATATTAGATTAGATATTCCATGGCACGGGGGGTAGGCCGAGTAGTTAAAAAAGTATATATGTATAAAAAATACGTTTAAAATGGATTCTTAGGATAACTAAGAACCGACAAGTACTGTGTCAAAATTGATTATGAGATTGATGAATATAATCTACCTTTTACTTCAAATAGGCACCTTTTTTCTTTTAATAGCTAATTTGTTCTAATAATATTTAATAATACGAGTATAAAGAACATAACTAGTGTTACTCATTAAATTACTTAAAATCGCAATAAGCATTTTAATTCAGAGCATTTCTGAATAGTGCGCACTTCAAACGGGTAGCAACTTAGATAATTAAAATTTAATGCAAAATTTGAGTGTTAAGTACTAACCTAAAAAGCTCTCGAGACTGTCGTAATTAAACAAGGTGCAATTATAACTTTAGTACTTGTAGGTCTAAACCTGTCTCTGAACGCTTCTGCTTGATCCTTTGATTAAAAGGGATGTCGCCCCTTAATTGCAATAAATTAAGTACTGGAGCCTACGTGTAGAGTCATAATTTAAGAATTTATTTTTAACAGTATTACTTACTTGCAACCTTTAACACTTTAGTGATAAATTTAGAATGTATGCAAGAATTTGTTTCGGTTTTGTCTTCTTATGCTAATTCCACTTTTTTTTTAATGTAATAGGAGGCAAAAGGGCAGGAGGCTCACCTGATGTTAAGTGATCGTGGACACTCACAATGCCAGAAGGCTCGCAAGTGCGTTGCCGGCCTTTCAAGAATTGGTTCGCTCTTTTCTTGAAGGACCCTAAGTCGAATTGGTTCGGAAATACTTCTGTTCTATCTGTATATTGTTGATGAACTATGCCAATACCTTTGGTATTTGATAATATATTTATTAAAAAACCTTTAAACATGTATGAGATTCTATTTCTATTAAATCTGCATACATACATGTTTTATTATAGGCTAGTAACGGTTTTATGATGTGTTGTAGCCATAAATAACAAAAGAACCATAAACTAACCAAGTTATAAATATTCATAAAGTATATTAATAATACCAAATACCTACGCAGAAATATAAAGTGTAAAAATTTCCACTCAGATAAAAAAAATCATCTTCATTCATTCCTTAATTCTATTTTTAAAAATCAACTTTTCGAACAAGGAATTCTTTTTACAAAAAACGTAATTCCGCGTTGTTCAAAGAGACAGTTTAAGACCTTCCCTACTTAGCCTAGTTCTAACACAAGAACAGCTGTAGCACTCATAGTCATTGTTCTCTTGGGATCGGATCCTACTATTGTCTCATCAATTGCTCCTATTTATAGGACATCGTCATGCCAATGTTGTGTTATTTGCTTTGAGATATAAGCTGCTAGCGAGTTTTGAATATATTTATTGTGATGTTGGCTATATTATGGTGATATAATACATACTAAACAAGTGGCAGATAAAGTCTTTACTTTTTCTGCCACTTGTAAGTATATAATCGTATGAACAAATACTAACTGCCTATAATATTACGTATCTCGTGTTATAAAATTAACTAAATAAAATATTAAACACATATATGTGGGGAAACTTTAAATACACTAATTATTAATATTCATTTTATTTGAAATCGCTTATTGTTAACACTGGTTAGCTAAAGGTATAAAGAAAGTGTAATTGTATGTTTGACGCCGTAACATGGTATAGGACGCTCGCCAGAAATGGGTGGGTCCACGAAGATTTGTAAGTGACAAGTGACATAAAGTACGGCATTCTTAACATTGTACTAACGTGAGATAACAGATTTGAATAGCTGTATTTATTTATACATATGCTACTATGCTAGATAAAAACAATAAAAGATTTGATATGATTTTATTAGTGTATAAAATATGAGTGGTATGTACCTACCTATTGTATGAACTTATTTCGGAGTATCTTTAAACCTTTTAAAATATTTATTTATTTCCACATAATTATTCTATCTTAACAGTCACTAGATACTAATGCGATTACTACACAATAATACCTACGCGGATAATCTAACATTTAAAAAATATTCTGCACAAAATATAACAGCGGGTATAAAATCAGGCCAAAATTTACTTACTTTTGGGGAAGTTAGTATATATAATAATATTTTATTTAAGAGAGATAAACGAAATAAAACTTGATTTCTTGGTCAGGGATTTCAATATTTTTTGGTAAAAAATGACTACAATTAGTCTTCTATGAAACGATTAATACAAGCAATTCCCTTTGTAATAAACAAAGAATTTCATATTATAAAATTCGTAATACAGTCTTTCTATCAAAGAAAGCGGCTTACCTGACTTGAGGCAATTTCGCTGTCCACTGATTCTGTAAAGAGAAATAAGCCACAGCATTCGTACCACACTTGTGTATCGCTATGACGAACTAACCTACTCGAAACGCAACCTTTTATATGAAACGCTTTAAGAATAAAACGAACCTCAGGTTTAAAATTAAAACAAAGAGGATTTGTTTCTGCTTGCACCATTACTGTAACATTGCAACATCGAAGTTGAACGGCAAAGAAAAACATGGTGAGGACATACGATTACCCCGTAGATCAAATCCAATACATTTTTGACATACTACAGCTATACCTACTAAGCGCTAAGTCTCTGTATCATACCGTATTTTCTTTTTTTATGTAATTAGAGTCAAAGGGGCCGTTCGAGTATTACGTAAGTAGATTTACTGCAATTTATCCACCTCTTGTCATTAAAAGTAGGCTTTCAAAAATAGTACTTAGTACATAAACGTATTATTTTTTTGTATAGACAATGTGAGGGTAATATGTGTAAATAAGTAAATAATTACTGTTGACGTCATCACCAAATAAGAAAATCAAAGACTCCCCATTAGTGCTTACGTAATATTTGAACGGCCCCAAATAGGCAGGAGGCTCATCTGATGTTAAGTGATGCCGCGGGCATGGACACTTACATTGCCAAAAGGCTCGCAACTGCGTTGCAGGCCTATGTATGATTGGTACGTCCACAGCAGTTAATTGCGAGCTCAACAGGATACAAAAATCACTATATATAAAACAAATGAGGGAACCTAATGTTAGAGATCTCAAGGGTGTAGCACTAATTTACTTACACAAGGTTGTGGCTAGTCTAACATTTCAGTGGTAATGAATACCCGTTTAAGCTGAAGCTTCATAAGCTTTAAACGTATAACAATTATGTACTAACAATACACACGTTATTTCCCTACGGTATTCTTTTTGCTTTGTATTAATAATTGCGCTCCAAAGACAAAACTGATTTGGTTTTGGAAGCATACAAGTAAGCCATCAACTTTATGTAATATTCAAAGTTCTTCAGAAAATCTTGACTGTGCAGACAATTATCCTTTGGATTAAAATTATCTAACTAAATATTAATTAATAAAAATTAACTTATTATCTAGATCAATAGATGATATCGTATCCTATCTGATAAAATAAAATATTACAAAAAAAAAACAATTACAGGACACTGGTTACTGTGGCTACTACATTGCTGGCATAAACATGAAATATAAGTCATACAGTGTTATTCATTTATTGAAAAAGTTATAATGATATAACGAAAAAGAAATACTGGCCGAGCTACTTTAGCTTAAAAAAAGCTTTAGCTTTAGCTTTTACGTTTAAAATTTTAACTAGGATAAATAATTATATTCTATTTTAAACACACGTTTTAAGTTTGGTTATGCGCTTGATTAATATATTAAAAATATGAATGAAATTGATTAAGTTACAAATAACAGTTCAGTGAAGAAGTTAACAAATAAGATTTGTTGTCAAACACATGTATTAGTTTCAACTTCTATGACTAAACTCGGGCATACAAAAAAGTACACAAAGGCTTCCATTATCATTCCACGCTTTTAATTATAACACCCATGATAAGAATCTCTTTGTTAAAGGGATGATAGCCACAATAAGTCAATGACTTTCAATTTTCAACAGCTATTAAAACAATTTAGTAGTTGTATTGATGCGAGGCGTAGACAAACCCGACGGTGGCGCCCCGTTGCGAAAAATAATAAAGTTTATTATTTCAAAAATGAAGCTATCACATTACAAACATATGGTTGATGTTTTTTATTGGAAATTAAAGTTATTGTATTATTTTAATGGTCTCCGTAGATTAATTTAAGACTTTTTGAAGGTTTGCAAATGGTGTGTTTTTTATCGCGTTTTTATCGCACGCAACAATTAAAAAAGGTTAATTTAATTATAAAAAACGAATATATAAATTACATTAAGTTTTAGTATAGTAAATGGTAATTTAAATCACGACATCCGTTCATGTGACGGCGACCTTCGCTATCTTTTATAATCTCTCAAATATAAAATATAAAGTCAACATTGTTCTGGCATCTACATTAAATATTTTAAACCACTTAAGTTCTCACCTAAATCATTAAGTGTTAAGTAAAGTCAAAACAAAAATAGAATTGGTTGAAACAATATCAAGAAACGAAAACACGCAACGCCTACAATAACGAAGTTTAAAAATAAAACACTGTCACAATGTAAGCAATGACCAGCAAAATACACTACAAAATACCAGTACAAAATAGGGTTTGTTTTCGACATAATTCTTTCTACCACTGTGGTAGGTTCTTGTGTATAAATAATATGTAAATGTATGGTTTCTAAGCTAAGTTTATTATTGCTTACATCTGTATATCCACAATTATTTTTCCTGTATCCTTTATTAGTT